AAGTACTTAATCGCAGGTAAGGATCGTGGTGCTTCGGAAGTATTTTATACCGAAGCTGAGCTCGGCTGCAAGCGAGCTGTGCCAAGCCTTGGTAAAGGCGAAGGAACGAATCTCCAGCTTCGAGTATACGTTGCCCAGTGGCCGCATCCAGAAAGCGCTTCGGAGCACTTTCTTGCAGTTGATACCACTGCAAAAGGGCTCGCACGCACTGATCTGACAGAACCAGCTCCAGATCATTCGGCGATTGAGCGAGCGCACTTCGAAGGCATACAGACAGGAATCCCAGAAAAAGCCTGCCGTTGTACGCCTTCAAAGTAAGCACAGGGAAACTCCCTGCGCTGCCATCGATCAACATGCCCGGCGTCAACATGGGCATGCTGTGAACAAGCCGGTGAGCACTTGCATACGTCTTGAAACGCATTGATGCATTGTGAAGAGCCACCTGCATGTCCGTCGATGCAAAGAATCCCGATTTCACCAGCAGATCGAGAACGGAGCCATTAAGTACCTGCACAGTGCCTAAGTTGGCAATGTGCATGCTGCAGGGTCGAATCTGTGTGGCCGCATTAAAGACTCCCGGAGTCATGTCCGTGGTAAACGGATTCCGGAGTTGACGGCTCATGCACTCCTCGACGATCTGCTCCGACGTCCTCCGCTCGTATTCGGCGGTGAGATCTTTGGCAAACCTTATTGGTTGCTTGAGCCAGAAATATTTTTATGATTCAAACTAGGGAAAAGCGACCTTATTATAAAAGTGTGCCGAGGCCTGGTCAAACAAATATATATATATATAAGAAACCCCAGCTGAGAAGCGAGTTCTGTCCCGCCTTGTTGGCCACACACATGTGGCAGAGGCGGTTTGCTTTGTAGTAAGCAGTGAGGTTGAAGTGCTCGTAGTGGAACTTCCAGTCGCCCCTGTACTCGGCCAAAATGGCCTTGCCTCCTGAAAGAAACATACAGTGCTAGCTAGTACAAGCCACTTGATAGAATCGATGTTTAATCGTCTAGCTTTATCTATATATAGTTGTAGATACCAGCCAGCTGTAGCAAACAGATGGCTCAGGGTTTAGGACTGCGGGTTTAGGCCTTTAGTTTAGCATATATATATATTAGGGTTCAAGCCTAGCCGTAGGAGCCAGAAAGTCGGAACATGATTTCATGCCCTTATGATCCTAGCACTAATCCTCCTAAACCCATGTTCCAACTTTCTGTTTCCTACTATAGGGTTTAGGGTTTCGGATCCCAGGTATTGTTGTCCTTTGACTGGCTGCCCAGCCCTCTTGGCCATCTTCCCTGAAAGGGGTGTGCCATCAAAGTTCTGCATTGGGTTCACGCCAGAGACGAGTATCTGCAGGGATGCTCGAATTGACACTTCGTAATTCAGTTGGGATCGTTCATTATTAGCTTGGGCTTCAGGTTTAACCTACACTTAAAGGATTGTGTTTTGATTTTGGGGATCAGTCAAGAAGCATTGAAGCTCCAGGCCATTACTCGAAGTGCTGGTT